CTTGAACTGACCTAGAATACTTGTACCTGTTCAACAGGCTTAGCCGTTCTCCAACACTCTGGGAAGCTTTATCCCTCCCAAACCAAGTCAGTGTATATAAGGCCCATAGTTCCCTGTGCTTGTCTCTATCAAAGCAATGGAGACAGTGCAGGAACTTGGGGGTTTTAGGAAATTTAAATCTGCTCTATTGGGTGCATTGACAACAGGTGTTTAACAGTAAAACACTGCCCTATTTTGTTAACTTGCAGAAGATGGCTTCCTGAGCGCATGTGACAGTCTCTTGAGCACCAAATGAATGTGATGTGACGGTGCCACAGCTTCTACTTTTCCCCAATTTTGCATAGTAACATTTAATTGCATTTGTGTATTCTTGACTCTTTTGTGAAGGTCCTCTTTGCTGGGCATGCCTCGGGTTGCAGATGTCTAGTTGGGAAGGTCATCTTCTTCAACCAAGCATGTTTCAGACAAGCACACCAGAGAACAGGAAGGGACAAAGGGAGACTGGCAGCCACGGAAGTCGGGGCTGGTGATGCATGGGGGTACAGATGATGTAGCCAATTCTGCAACATTTCTGTTGCAGAAGTGAGAGTGACGCCACTCTTCAAAGACACACTTGTCAGCACTGTTACGCAGCGTTAACAATACAATTGCATAGAAATGGGTATGTACTGACATAGAAACTACATAAAAACATACCAGGGGCAGGCAGTGGCCTAGCAGTGAAGACACCGCTCTGGATACTTGCATCCTGTATCACAGTGCCTAGGTTCAAGTTCCCGGTCCTCTCCTGACTTCAGCTTTCTGGTAATGAGCACTCCAGGAGGCAGCAGCGATGACTCCAGTTGTCGGGTCCCTTACACCCATCTGAAAGACCCTGATTAAGTTCCCAGTTCCTGCTTCCGCCAGGCCCAGCCCCAGCTTTTACAAAGGGTATGGGAATGCTCACAGAGTCCCAACAGCAGTAGGATTATATCATTAGCACTGCACAATGTGTTTGGAATTTAAGAATGGCATCTCCCTCAGTGCTACAATAGAAATGTGAGGGTCCTCTGGTTATACTTTTATTTATGTGTTCATTTATGTATCTGAAAGGCAGAGTGACAGAGAGAGAGAGAGAGAGCAGGAGAGATACAGAGATATCTCCCTTCCTTCAATGGCAACTACCAGGGCATGGCCAGGCTGAAGCCAGGAGCCAAGAACTTGCATTCTGGTCCCCCAAGTCTGGCAGGAACCCAAGTACTTGGCCTATTATCTGCTGCTCCTCAGATGCATTTGGCAGGGAGGTGGATCAGAAGCGGAGTAGCTGGGTCTTAAACTGGCGCTCAGATATGGTCTGTGGGCATTCCAAGCAGTAGCTTTACCTTCTTCACAACACCCATCCAGACTACACTTTGTATGCCCCATCAATCACCAGTCTCGATTTAGAAAGGCAGTCGAGTCCATGTGTTACACTAGGAACTGAGGCAACTCCTCAAAGGCAGGGATTTTTTTTTCAAATTTGTTTTTCCAGTGAAGTCTTTTCAGCAACTATGCTGTCTCCAAAAAATTATATATTACTTTGTGTTTTTTTTTTTCCCCTAGCTGTCAGATCTGATTTTACGAATCCCTCATCTGCTGGAATTGTGACACAGTGGGTTAAGCTGCTACCTGAGATGCTGGCATCCCATATGAGCACTGGTTCAACTCCTAGCTGTTCCACTTCCCGATCCAGCTCCCTGTTAATGAGCCTGGGAAAGCAGAAGGTGGTCCAAGTACTTGGGCCCCTACCACATACAGGAGAGACCTGGATGGATTTCTGAACTCCTGGCATTGGCCTGGCCCACTCCCAGCTGTTACAGACATTTGGCGAGTGAAGATCTCTCTCTCTCTCTGTCTCTCCCTCTCTACCTTTTAAATCAATATACACATTTTTTTTTGACAGGCAGAGTGGACAGTGAGAGAGAGAGACAGAAAGAAAGGTCTTCCTTTGTCATTGGTTCACCCTCCAATGGCCACCCCGGCCGGCGTGCTGCAGCCGGCGCACCGCGCTGATCCGATGGCAGGAGCCAGGTGCTTCTCCTGGTCTCCCATGGGGTGCAGGGCCCAAGCACTTGGGCCATCCTCCACTGCACTCCCGGGCCACAGCAGAGAGCTGGCCTGGAAGAGGGGCAACCGGGACAGAATCCGGCGCCCCGACCGGGACTAGAATCCGGTGTGCCGGTGCCACTAGGCGGAGGATTAGCCTAGTGAGCCGCGGCGCCAGCCAATACATACATCTTAAAAGGTTAGCAAGCATAAAAAAATAAACCCCTCATCTGCTTCTATCACTACATAATCGTGAAGGAGGAATGGGTGAAGGCACACTGACAAAATGTGGCTAATAATTCCTGTGCCTAAAGACACGGGGCTGGATCTGAAGTTTCATTCCAATAACAAGCTCTGATTCCATGAATAGTGTCCAGGAGCAAAACAAAACCTAATCCATAGATGAAATATTATTTAGATAAAAAGACAGTAATCTAGACAATTGAAGAGTTCTGGATGGTGGTCAGCACTGTGGAATAATGGGTAAAACTGCTGCCTATGGCTCCAGCATCCCATATGGGCACTGGTTCACATCCCAGCTGCTCCATTTCCAATCCAGCTCCCTGTCAATGAACCTGGGAAAGCAGCAGTGGATATCCCAAGTGCTTGGGCCCCTGCACCTACATGGGAGACATGGGAAAAGCTCCTGGATTTGACCTGGCCCAGCTCTGGCCCTTGCAGCCATTAGGGCAGTGAACCAACCAAGGGAAGATCTCCCTCTCTGTCTTTCTCTCTGTCTCTCTCTCTCTCTCTATATATATATATATACAACTTGGCCTTTCAAATAAATAAATAAATCTTTAAAATAAAAGAGTTCTGGAAATATCAAGCAAAAATATTTGTATTTAACAAGTTTAGGATTACATGATTTTTGTTTTTCCTATTTAGAAAATTCAACCTCACCTCTTAAAAACATAAATTTTATTCTCAAGGAAAAAAAAAGGTGCTGTAAAGATAACTAAGTTAATTTTTACTTTTCAAAAACCCATGTTCAGAAAGATGAATACTTATTGTAGAATGCTGGGAGTTGAATCAGATACTGAATTTCTTCCTGAAGTCAACTCTTTCCATTCCAAATACAAACACTTTTAAACATGGGTAGGTGGTGGGTGCTGCGGTGCCGCGAGGTGAGCCACCATCTGGGACTCCCACAGCCCGCAGCAGCTCCAGTGCTGACCACTGGGCTTCCTACCCAGCCCCGCCGCCAAAGCATCCAGGGAGGAAGCAGAGGATGATCAAGTGCCGCCGCCCACATGGGAATCTGAATGCAGATCCTGGTTCCTATTCCGGCCTGGCCAAGCCCTGGCTGTTTGAGGAGTGAACCGGTGGATGGAAGATATATCTCTCTCTGTGAAACTCTGCCTTTCAAATTGATGAAAATAAACATTTAATGAATAAATACAAATCAAGTGTTTGCAACACTATACATATATGAATAACACTACTGTTTGTCCGGGCTATATCCCTTTCCTTAATTGCCTAAATTTAACACATCTGAATTTTTTTAAAAATGCTTGTAGGATAAAACTGTACTTCTTATTTTCTTATTGAACAACAGACAAGCAGCAATCACACCCTAACAGCCGAGGTTGTGCATTTAATTCACTGTTGCACACTGCCATCTAGCAGGAAGCCGGGCAAGGAAGAGCTAGGACAGGAATTTCAAACGGGAGCCGACCTTCAGGCTCATCTGCCTTTGGGAAACCTCAGCGTGCAAACACCTGGGCTCCTTCATCAGTGCACACGGCCGGGCCCCACCACATGACCTCCCATTTGAGGCCGCAGTGGGTCACTGAGCAGCAAGGTCCTGGCCATGGGCTGACATCCCCAGCAAGCCCAGGGTGGGTCATGAGACACAGATGTGTAAGGCAGATCCGATGAAGACCAACTTGCCTCACTCACATTGTACCGAGCTGAATATTATGGTTAGCAGGGCATTAAGCCCGTGGCTGTGGAGTAGACTGATATTATGAAAAAGTTTAAAATAAGAAAGGAAGGGGAGGGGGATTGAGGGAGGGAGGGATGGAACTACAGTTGTCTCCTTGCAATTGTACCTATGAAATGCATGAGGTCTGTTCTCTTTAATAAAAATGTAAAAAAAAAAAAAAATTGTGCCCAGCCAGAGTTGCATCCATTCCACAAATGAACTTAACAATCTCTACCCAAGTATTTCAGGGAGGGAGGCGACGCAGGGCGCAGGGAGCAGCCTGTCCCGCTGAGGAGTTTAGAGTTTAGGCACTTATCTTGCATGGCATTTGCTCTATAAAGCATCACTAAAAGGTCCCCCAGAAAATCCCGAGATCACAGCAATGTCATCTCTCTCTCTCTCTCTCTCTCTCACACACACACACACACACACACACACCCCGAGTTCTTTCCTGAGGGCACTCATCTCAGGCACACAAATACCTAGGAAAAGGCTTTGGGGCTGAGGGCCGGGGCGGGGCGGGGTGGGGCAGGGGTAGGGCTTCTCCCGGCGCCTGCTCTCCATCCTCTACACCCGGCCAGGTCGGAACCGCTACGGCTCCAGCACAGGTTTCTAGCAACAAGTGATTCTCTGGGAGGAGGACGCAGACCGCAGCGCAGGAAGACACGGGTGCGAGCCTGGCCCCGGCGCCGCGGGCTCGGGCCGGCCAGGGCCGGGCATCTCTCCTCCCGGGACCCCCGCACGCTCTCGCCCGTCCGCAGCCTCCCGCCGGCGCCGGCTCAGCGGCCTCGCCGCCCGAGGTCTCAGGCACGGCTGCCGGCGCCGCCGCCCACGGTCGCCACGTCCCCCAGAGAGGGTTCTTCTTGCGCACACAACTCCATCTTCCTCCCGCGGCACAGAGAGGGGCTGTCCATCGGCTGCGACTCCACAGAAGTCTCTTGAGGGGGGGTCTCAGCCCCGACCGGGCTGTCACTCAAGGCGGAAAAGCCCCCAGGGCACCCCCACTCACCTGTCCCCGCCGGCGGCGGCCGCCGCTTCTCACTTTCAGTTTGCGCCCCCGCGCGAGCTCAGCGGAAGCCCGGGAAAGGAGAGGTTGGAATGGCGGAGGCGGGGATAACCCGGGCAGCGCTCTGGCCGAGTTTTCCGGGATCCAGGCTTTCGCCCTGCTGGTGGAAACAAGCGGGACTCGCGGTCCAGGGGCACTGGCGCGCCCTGCACTGGTGAGCCTGACCCCGCAAGAGACCCTCTGCTGAGAAAGTCACAGGAAACTTTTTTTTTTTTAAATATTTATTTAGATTTATTTGAAAGGCAGAGTGTCGGAGAGGAAGAGAGAGAGCGAGCGAGGGAATTCATTCTCCGAAGGGCCCCAACAGCCAGGGCTGGGCCAAGCCAAACCCAGGAGCCTGTCAGGAGCTTCCTCCAGGTCAACCATGTGGGTGCAGGGGCGCAAGCACTTGAACCATCCTCTGTTGCTTTGCCAGGTGCGCTAACAACCAGGACTCAAACCCGCCCTGGGAGATGGGATGCTGGCCTCCCTAGTGCCGGCCTGGGCCCTCCCATCACCCCCGCTCCCACCCAACCCCTGGGTGCTTCTCAAACAACTCGGCCTGGCGCACAAATTCACGCGTTCAGGAACTTGGAGCGCCTTAAAGCTGAGCCAAGGGTGGGTTGTTTAATGTCTGCTCACAAGGTTTAGTAGACGTTAGTGTTAGGATTGTAGGGTTTGAAGAAGAAAGCGAAGAGGCAACCAGCTACAGCAGGAAAGAATTTTACTGAAGACAGGACAGCGTGGTAAGGGGAAAGGTGGGGTGGGTGTCTGAGAAGAGATTCAGCCCGCCAGGCAGTGGGCAATAGCCTGTTTATGCTGTTAGGAGGGGCTCCACTCCGTAAGGTGGGTTTGAGTGGCCGGAACATCCCTTGTTTGCTGTGTAGGATCAGGTCAGTTTGATATGTCCCCAAAGAGATGCTCGCAGAAGTTGGAGCTGGCCCCCACAGGGAACCGAGCAGTAAAATGTCAGGTTGGGGACGAACTATTTGTGCCCATTTTACCAGGAGTTTTGGAATTAACTAATTAATTAATTAACTAATTAGTTGTGTTTCAGTGGCCTAGCCTATCCAAACAGTAGACCAAACAGGATCTTTTAGTTTAATTGTATTGTTTGTGATGGTTTGAATTTTCCCGTCATCCCCAAATTCCCATGTCGAAACTGGTATTGGAAAGTGTGGCAGCTGGAAGTTGATTAGGTCATGAGCATGGAGCCCTCATGGATGGGCCTTAGAAAAAGGCCAGAGTTTCTGCCATATGAGGACACATATGAGGCTATTTCAAAAAGTTTGTGGAAACAGGCAATGAAAATATAAGTTGGGGTTTGAGCGTTTAGTGCAGTGTGGTAAGACGCTGCTTAGGAAGCCTACATCCCAGATCAGAGTGCTGAGGTTTGAGTCCTGCATTGGTTCCCAATCCCAGTTTCCTGCTGATTCACACCCTGGGAGGCAGAAGGTGTACTTGGGTCCTTGCCACCCACGTGGGAGACCTGGATGAAGTGCCTGTTCTGGGCTTCTGACTCCACCCTGGCCAGCCTCCGCTGTTACAGGCATTTGAGGCGTGAGTCAGAAGATGGAAGATCTTTTTGTATATCTGTGTGTGTGTGTGTGTATGCACACACCTGCCTGCTTTTTAAGTGAAAATATCTAAGTATTTTTTAAAAAACAGATAAGTCTATTTTGGTGCAAAAATTTTTGAAATTCATTTAGTTTATTTAAAATATGTATTTTCTGCAAATTTTTTGAAGAAGATTCCTTGTCTGCCTCAATTTCTTTTTTTTTTTTTAAGATTTATTTGTTTATTGAAAGGGTGAGAAAAACAGAGAGATCTTCCATCCACTGGTTCACTCCACAAATGGCTGCAATGGCCAGGACTGGTCAGGCCAAAGCCAGGAGTCCAGAGCCCCACCTGGGTCTTTCATGCATGTATCAGAGGCCCAAATATTTGGGCTTCCTTCCCAGACACATCAAGAGGGAGCTGCATGAGGAGCTGAGCAGCTGGGATTTGAACTGGTGCGCTGATCTGGGATGCCACTGCTTGTAGCCCTCTGCACTACAACACTGGCCCCTGTCTTCATGGATTTCATTGTTTGTTTGCATCAAAGCAAACTTATCTTTTAATTCCAATCTCCATGAACCTTTTGAAATACCCTTGTACAAGTCACTCTCGATGAGGCACTGACCCACATCAGACACCAAATCTGCTGGCACCTTCATCTCCGACTTCCCAGCCTGCAGAACTGTGAACAATACACTTCTGCTGTGTACAAGTTACCCAGTGCTACAGTCTGAATGTGTCCCTCAAGTGTAAGGTGTTGCAAACTTCATCTCCAGTTTCATAAGTTGGTAGTATTTGCATTGGGGCTTTGGGGAGGTGACTGGTTCATGTGAGCTGTGCCCTCAGGAATGGATTCATCTATTAATAGTTAATGGGTTACTGAAGGGGTGGCTTTGTTATAAAAGCAGTATCTTTCTGGCATGCCTGCCCTGCCGTGTTACTATGCAGCAAAGAGGCCCTCATCAGACTTGCTCTTTACTTCCCCATCCCCGAACTGTTGCAAATAATTTTTTTTCTTTATGAATTATTTGGTCTCAGGTACTCAGGTAAGGTACAGCAACAGAAAGTAAACTAAGACATCTAAAGTATTTTGTTAAAGCAGCACAAATGTACTATAGCACTGTGAGGAAGTGGCCTAAATAGAACTATTTTGCTCTAGTCTAGGAGGTGATAAACCTAGGGAGGTAATTCAAGATTTTGGGAGGGCTGGGACTTTGGTAAGGCAAATGAGGCACATAGGACTAAAACTTTGAGGAAGCGCTAATTCTCTCCTGAGTGCTGACTGCTCCTGCAACACCCAGAGAGTGAGCTGCTGTCCTGAGTCTGCCTCACTCAAGTGCTGGCCCTGCAGGGCTTCAGTGCCAAGCACTTTGATTAACTTCTCATTCAAAATCTGATTTTGCCGGCGTTGTGGTGAAGCTGGTTAAGCCACTGCGTGCAATGCTCGCATCCCATATGGTCACCAGTTTGAGTCCCGCTGCTCTGCTTCTGATCCAGTTCCCTGCTGATGCACCTGGGAAGGAAGCAGAAGATGGCCCAAGTGCTTGGGGCCCTGCCACTCCAAGTGCATGAGGCCCTGTTCCTAGCTTTGTCCTGGCCTAGCCCTGGTCATTGTGGCCATTTGGGTAATAAACCAGTGGTTGGAAGATCTCTTTCTGTCTCTCCATCTCTCTGCAACTCTGCTTTCAAATAAATAAATAAATTTTAAAACAAAATGAGGGGCTGGTGTTGTGCATTTTTAAAGATTTATTTATTTAAAAGGCAGAGTTAGAGAGAGAAGGAGGAAGAGGCAGAGAGAGAGAGAGAGATCGTGCATCCACTGGTCCACTCCCCAAATGGCCACAATGGCCAGAGCTGGGCTGATCTGAAGCCAGGAACTTCTTCTGGGTCTCCCACATGGCTGCAGGGGCCCAAGCGTCTCCTAGGCACATTAGCAGGGAGCTGTATCAAAGTGGAGCAGCTGGGACTCAAACCAGTGCCCAGATGGGATGTTGGTGCCACAGGCAGCAGCTTTACTTGCTGCACCATGGTGTTGGTCCCTGCTCCGCTTCTGATCCAGCTGTCTGCTAATGGGCCTGGGAAACAGTGGAGGATAGCCCAGGTGCTTGGGCCCCTGCACCTACATGGGAGATCCACTTGAAGCTCCTGGCTCCTGGCTTTCGCCTGGCCCAGCCCCAGCCATTGCATGCAATTGGGGAGTGAACCAGAAGATAGATCTCTCTCTGTAAATCTGTCTATCATATAAATAAATAAATCTTTATAAAAACTAAACCTTATATCAAATATGAGAGGCCTTCAAAAACATAGGAAATGTATATTATGAAACATCTGGCTGGCGCCACAGCTCAGTAGGCTAATCCTCTGCCTGTGGCACCAACATCCCGGGTTCTAGTCCCGGTTGGGGCGCCGGATTCTGTCCCGGTTGCTCCTCTTCCAGGCCAGCTCTCTGCTGTGCCTGGGAGGGAAGTGGAGGATGGCCCAGGTGCTTGGGCCCTGCACCCCATGGGAGACCAGGAGAAGCACCTGGCTCCTGGTTTCGGATCTGCACAGTGCGCTGGCAGTGGCAGCCACTTGGGGGTGAACCAACGAAAAAAGGAAGACCTTTCTGTCTCTCTCTCTCTCTTACTGTCTAACTCTGCCTGTCAAAAAAAAAAAAAAAAAAAGAAACATCTATACATAGATTTTAAAATATATTTTTATACCAAAATATTCTTTTATTTTTTTAAATTTATTTGGGAGAAGAGAGAAAGAAACACCACAGAGAGAGACCTATCACTCACCCCCGCTTCACTCCCCAGATGCCCAGAACAACCAAGACTGGGCTGAGGCTGAACTAGGAGCAGGAAACTCCTTCCAGGTCTTCCACGTTGGTGACAAGGACCCCCCTCCTTGAGCCATCACCCTTGCCTCCCTGCCTTAGCAGGAAGATGGGAGTCAGGAGCTGGAGCTGGAGCTGTGACTAGAATCCAGGCGTTCCAATGTGCAACGTGGGCTGTTTAATCACTAGATTCAATGCCTGATCCCTAAACTTATTTTCAATCCCATTTTTCATGACCTTTTTGATGTTCCCTCACATATTGTCTATTTCAGTTGCTGCAGACAGATCAGAAGCAGGTAGCCCTAGGTTGAACACCCACTCCCCTTGAGAGTGGACCTGTGACTTGATCCAACCCACAGAATATGGCAAAGGTGATGAACAGTCACTCCCATTATTACACTGATGAGATTCTGTCTTAGCAAGTTGAAGTGAGGGATTCTCATGGCTGGCTTGCTGATGTAAGTAGCCATGTTGAGGAAGCCATGTGGCAGGAGCTACAGACAGCGTCCAGGGCCTGAGGGCAGCCTCCAGGTCACAGCCTACAAAATGCTGGGGTCCCATCACACAGGAAATAATAGCTGCCAGTTCTGAATGAACTTGGAAGCAGATGTTTTCCCAGTCAAGCCTACATGCTCCCTCTTGCCTATACAGTCTTGAGGAACCCTGAGCCCAGCATAGCAGACCACCTGATCTGGGCCTGGAATCCTGACCATAGAAACACTAAGGGAGGGGCCTGCACTGTGGTGCAGTAGCTCAAGCCGCTGCCAGCAGAGCTGGCATCCTATGTGACCACTGGTTCAAAACCCAGCTGCTGCATTTCTGAACCAGCTCTCTGCTATGGCCCAAGTCCTTGAGCCCCTGCAGCAGCATGGGAGACCTGGGAGAAGCTCCTGGCTCCTGGCTTTGGAAGGGCCCAGGTCCAGCTGTTGCGGCCATTCGGGGAATGAACCAGCAGATGGAAGACCTTCTCTCTGTCTCTACCTCTCTCTGTAATTCTTCCTCTCAAATAAGCATTAATGAATAAATAAATCTTTTTAAAAAACTGTAAGGGAATAAATATATGTAGGATTTGAAACTGCTACATTTGTGGGTTGTTTCACACAGTGATAAACAAATACAGTTTCCACTTGTAATTAATTTCTCTCCCTGATGATCAGGATTTGGGGATTTATCTGTGTTGGCACTATGCATCTGTCATTCATTTTCACTGCTCCAGTATTTTCCACCGTATGCCAGTGATACAATTGACATTCATTTTTCTATTGAGGACTTTTAGATTCTTATGTTTGTTGTGCTTCTTTAAACATTCCTATGCATGTCTTTTTGTAGGTAGATGTGAACATTTCTCTAGGGTATGTATCTGGAAGTAGGACTACAAGGCTGTAGGATAAGAAGACGTGTTTTAGGTGATTTTCCTAAATGACCTTGTAAAGTGAGTCATTGCACACCCTCCAACGGGCGACGAGAGTTGCTGCTGGTTTACATCCTTATACTAGCAGTAGTACTAGTTGTACTGTCAGAGTGCTCTGGGAGTCGAGAGTAGACAGGTGAGGACCAGGTACAAGTTCTTTTTGTTTTATTTTATTTTATTTTATTTTATTTTATTTTATTTTATATTTTTTTGACAGGAAGAGTTAGACAGTGAGAGAGAGAGAGACAGAGAGAAAGGTCTTCCTTTCTCCATTGGTTCACCCCCTAGATGGCCGCCATGGCCAGCTGGCATGCTGTGCCGATCTGAAGCCAGGAGCCAGGTGCCTCCTTCTGGTCTCCCATGCGGGTGCAGGGCCCAAGCACTTGGGCCATCTTCCACTGCCTTCCCGGGCCACAGCAGAGAGCTGGACTGGAAGAGGAGCAACCGGGACAGAATCTGGCACCCCAACCAGGACTAGAACCTGGGGTGCTGGTGCCACAGGCGGAGGATTAGCTTATTGAGCCGTGGCACCCACCAGTTTTTTTTAAATAAGAACTTTTATTTAATAAATATAAATTTTAAAAGTACAACTTTTGGATTATAGTGGTTCTTTCCCCCATAACCACCCTCCCACCCGCCAACCATCCCATCTCCTACTCCCTCTCTCATCCCATTCTTCATTAAGATTCATTTTGAATTATCTTTATATACAGAAGATCAACTCTATACTAAGTAAACATTTCAACAGTTTGCACCCACACAGACACACGAAGTATAAAGCACTGTTTGAAGACTAGTTTTACTGTTATCTCATAGTACAAGACATTAAGGACAGCTCCTACATGGGGAGCAAGTGCACAGTGACTCCTGTTGTTGACTTGACAATTGACACTCTTATTTATGACATCAGTAATCACCCAAGGCTCTTGTCATGAGCTGCCAAGGCTATGGAAGCCTCTTGAGTTCGCCAACTCTTCTTATTTAGACAAGGCCATAATCAAAGTGGAAGTTCTCTTCTCCCTTCAGAGAAAGGTACCTCCTTCTTTGATATCCCCATCCCAGGTACAGGTTCTTTTGAACCTAGGACATGGAATTGAATGAAGCTCACACAGAAAATAAGTATAACAGCAAAGGTGCATTACAGGAAAAGAAAATACACTTAAGAGAGGGGCCAGTGCTGTGGCACAGTAGGTTAATCCTCTGCCCGCGGCGTTGGCATCCCATTTGTGCACCGGTTCTAATCCCAGCTGCTCCTCTTTCAATCCAGCTCTCTGCTGTGGCCTGGGAAAGCAGTAGAAGATGGCCCAAGTCCTTGGGCCCCTGCACCCACGTGAGACCCGAAAGAGGCTCCTGGCTCCTTGTCGCTCCCCCTCTTCGTGGAGGAACGACACAGGACCCTGCGCTGTTCTTTTGTCTGCTTGGCCCTCCCCGGGTTTGCTGCTGGTTCTTCCCGGGTTGGCTACCGTCCCTTCCACCTCCGTGGAAGGGCGGTTCCCCCTGGCCACTTTACCCACTTCCGCGGGGGAGCGGCACACGCAGCGGCTCTCTCGGGGGTGCACAGTGTTCCTCAGATGTTCCTCTTAGATGTTCCCGGTGCATGGTGTCTCTCTCCTCCTTTATAGTCCTCTTCCACCAATCCCAACTCTGCTACCCACACGCCAAGTACGCTGCGCTCCTCCAATCAGGAGCAAGATCAGCTCCTGCAGCTCAGTCAATCAAATTGGCGAGAGGCAGCTGCGTAGAAGTTGTTACTCCCTTCTCAGCACCATATTGTGGGAGAGCAGATGCATAGAATAAGTCTTAATTCCCAGTAACTTAGTCTAGTCCGAGTTGCTCCCCACAGCTCCTGGCTTTGGATCGGCACAGCTCTGGCCATTGCAGCCAATTGGGGAGTGAACCAGCGGATGGAAGACCTCTCTCTCTCTCTCTGCCTCTGCCTTTCAAATAAATAAAGAAATCTTAAAAAAAAAAAAGAAGAAGAAGAAGAATACAGAGATCCTGAGTGCCATTTACCTAGCTTCCCTCAGGGTAACATCTTGCAGAAGCCTAGTACAATGACCCAAGAAGGGTATTGACATTTGTGCTGTTATGATACATGAGTTTCTACCACAGCCACACCTGTTTCCCTCTTGGCTCCATCCCTTCCTTAGACACAATCATTAGCCCATTCTCCATTTCTACAATTTTGTCTTTCAAGAATGTTACATAGGAGCTTGCTCGTGGTGTAGAAGATTAAGCGTCCTCCTACAGTGTAGGCATTCACTCCCCAAATGACCCGAGTGACCAGGGTTAGGCCAGACATAAGCCAGAAGCCAGGAGCTTCATTCGGGTCTCTCACATGGGCTCAGGGGCCCAAGCACTTGGGCCATCTTCCACTGCTTTACCAGGCACATTAGCAGGGAGCTGGATCAAAAGTAGAGCAGCCAGGACTCTGACCAGCAACCATACAGGATGAGGGCATCGCAGGCGGGGCTCAACCCACTAAGCCGAAGTGTCAGCCCATTTTCAAGATTTTTTAGAAGTTTTAGATGTTTAATGAGGATCTGCTTTAGTATGGATTTCCTTGGGGTTTTCCACACCAATGACCTAACTTAGGCATCATTCATCCACTCTCCACTAATCTGCAATTCCACTGTGTCACACACCATGGTTTCTGGTTCTCTATTCTGGTCTGCTCGTTAATAGGGAACTAAGTGGTGTGGTCAGAACAATCACAGCTGCCTTTTCCAAGCCATTTTTTTAAACTTTTAAAAATTAATTTATTTGACAGAGTTAGTTAGACAGCTACAGCTGTAGCTACGCTGATCTGAAGCCAGGAGCCAGGTGCTTTCTCCCGGTCTCCCATGAGGGTGCAGGGCCCAAGCACTTGGGCCATCCTCCACTGCCTTCCCGGGCCACAGCAGAGAGCTGGACTGGAAGAGGAGCAACCGGGACTAGAACCCGGTGCCCACATGGGATTCTGGTGCCACAGGCCAAGGATTAGCCAAGTGAGCCACGATGCTGGCCCTCGAAGCCATTTTTAAAAAAAACTATGCATTTAATGTGCCTCTAGTTCTCACATTGCTCCACTTTTCCAAACAGGGCAGCTGGTGATAAATGGTGACTTGCCTGGATTTAATGCATAGCAGTGGCCTTTTATAATCTAAATTCAGCTGTGTGCTACATCAACGGTTCTTAATCATGGTTTTCGCCTGCATGTAACAAAAAAAAAGTTATTTATGACATCTTGGATTATTTCATAACATGATAGGCATTCAAGTTAAAAGTTTGTCCTTATCAGGAGGAGCCTGTGCCTTTTTCCTCCTTTGGTATTCAAATGGTCTTTCTTTTTGTAAAACCACATAACCTGCAGTACAGGTTTTCTTTCTCAGCTAGCGAAATAAAAAGTAATAAGGCGTTGTTGACCCTTGAGATTTTTAAAGAAATGTTATCTGACCCGTAAACGCCAAAAATCAGGCCCCAGCACCGCAGCAAACACGAGTCCCTGGAAGGCAGAGTAGAAAGGACGGACTCGGAACCCGGCAGAGGGCCGCACACTCGCGCCCGGCCCGGCCGGTGCGGCGCCTCGCCCGGCTCTAACACTTGGGGGACAGCCCCGGGCCGAGCGACGTCTGAGTGCACCTGCCCGCCCCGCCCCCGCACGGCGAGGCGCACGCGGAACTTAGACCGCCAGGGGCCGCTGCGCCTCGCCCAGAGTCTCGGAGTTTCTCGCGATGGCAGAGGTCGGGCTTTCCGGAAGTGATTCCCCGGAAGGCGTGTACGTGCTTCCCGGATCCGGCCAGGCGCCGCACGCTGAGCGGCCGGCACCATGCAGTCGGACGATGTGAGTCTTGTCCCGTTGCTCTGCCACCACCGGGGTTTGCGTGGGTTGTTATTTTTTTACTCATTTAAGGAGACATTGTATACTGAGGTGGTTTGTGTGCTTCCTGAACCCCAGATTTGATAATTAGGGTCCTCATGCTTGCCTACCCCTGGTCTCCAGGGTTTAAGGGGCCAGCACGGAGCCACCTGAGTCCACGGGGTCTGCGTTTCCAGTGCGTGGTGCCCGGCCCTGAAGGACTCCGTGCCGTAGGGCTCCTCGGGGCTTTGGGCCGGCGGGGTGAGCGCCAGGGGAGTGTGGCGAAAGTTAGACTTCCGAGTTAAGGACACTCACGCAAGTGCACGTTCGCTTTTCATTCCGCCTTTCCTGTGTCGGGTTTTTATTCACATTTGCTCTTCTGTGCGCCCGAGTCGTCATCTTGCAGGCATCCGATATTAAGTTCTTTGCTTACGGTGTGTTCGGCTTTGTAGGGATCGCTGGGACTTTGGTGTTAAGGAGCAGGACCAAGTACTCTTGCGGGGGAATCAGAGAGTAGAAAGCGAGGAAATTGCCGGGTGCAGCGCCGTGAGGGAAGGAAGACGTGGCTTGTGGTTCAGAGACCACTTCAGGGAGAGTCTGGGAACAGAGTTGGAGCTGAGGTGGGAACAGCCATCCAGGCGGCACTCTCATGCGCCTCTCCGTGGCTGTTTCACTGTTATTCTGTGATGCTTTGTTTGTGTAACTGGTCCCCTAATTAGATAAAACTTTAAGGACTCTTCTGCAGGAGCGGCCATTGTGCTGCAGCAGAGTAAGCACCCCACTTGGGATGCCACAGCCAGCTTCCCACTGATGGGTGATGGCGCAAGTGCTTGGGCCTCTACCTCCCACATAGGAGACCCAGATGGAGCTCTGGGCTCCTCGATGTTGCAGACATCTAGGGAGTGAACCAGCACATGAAAGGTCTCTTAATCTATCTTTCTCCTTTCCAAGTATTTGAAGAGTAAGACATTAAAAAAACAAACTATCCTTTCATTCAACAAATACTTGAGTATCTACAGCGTGTCAGGAGATGTCAGTGTCTTAATAAGCTAAGTATGGGGGCATATGGATATAGGTTTGAGTCCCGGCTGCTCCACTTCCAATCCAGCTCCCTGCTAATGTGCCTGGGAAAGCAGTGGAAGATGGCCCAAATGCTTGGACCCCTGCACCAAGAAGTTCCTGGCTCCTGGCTTTGGACCGGCCGAGCTCTACCCACTGCAGCTATTTGGGAGTGAACCAGCAGATGGAAGATACCCTCCCACCCCCCAATTCTGCCTTTCAAATAAAATAAACACATCTTAAAAAAAAAGTTACATATATAATTAATGCTGATTGAATAAAGAGTACATTAGTGGAGAAAAAATAGATAATTTTCCTTGCCCTCAAAGAAACAAAGTTGTGGTATGTATATCCAAACGTTAGTACTGTGCTGCCTTTAACAGTGGGTAATGAACATTCTAAGTGAAAAGGGGAAATTGCTAGGTATATATAATATCTTGTTTTTGTTAAAGATATACACATAGACATAAGCATTTCTTCCTCATTCCTTAATTCCTCTTTTTTAATTTTTTTATTTGAGAGTTACAGAGAGAAAGTCTTCCATACGCTGGTTCACTCCCCAAATAGCTGCAACGAACGGCCAGAGCTGGGTGGATCCAAAGCCGAGAGCCTGGAGCTTCCTCCATTCTCCCACATGGGTTCAGGGGCTCAGGGACATGGGCCATCCCCCACAGCTTTCCCAGGCACATCAGCAGGGAGCTGGATCAAAAGTGGAGCAGCTGGGCCTTCAGCTGGCACCCATATGGGATGTGGGCACTGCAGGCCGGAGCTTCAACCCGCTGCACCACAGTGCTGGCCCTGAACTCCTCTTAAGGCAGGTGCCTTGTCTTTTTGACTAAATGTAGCAACTGTTCCATCAGAGCAACTGAAATGGGCTTCACTTTGTCTCACAGGTTATCTGGGATACACTAGGAAACAGGCAGTTTTGTTCCTTCAAAATAAGGTGAGTAGATTTGGGAACACAGACTACAATTTCTTGCATTCCCTCCTTGGTGACCACCTTGTAATCTTTGTTTTGTTCCTCCCGTTCTAGAACCAAGACTCAGGGCTTTTGCCGAAATGAATACAGCCTGACTGGACTGTGCAACCGGTCATCCTGCCCCCTGGCAAACAGTCAGTATGCCACCATCAAAGAAGAGAAAGGTAACTCCCTAGGTTTAGCTCCCCTGAGAACTACTCAGCAGCTTTTAAAAAGATGTTTCTTAGTCTCTTGGTAAAGAGTAGTAACGATGTTTCACTTTACTCTTCAGGACAGTGCTACTTGTATATGAAGGTGATAGAACGAGCAGCTTTTCCAAGGCGTATGTGGGAACGGGTAAGACTTCAGGCAGAACTACAGTGACTTGATTTCAAGATCAGAAGTGCCACGTGCTTTTTCCGCTTCCTTGGCCCTCTCCAGGTTAAACTTTTGAAGCCACCCTCCTTAGGGCAGAGAACTGTCCCTAACAGTGAAGACCTAATAAGTTATTTACCCTTGCCCCTTAAACTTCCTTTTTCTGTTTGGTAGGTTCGGCTCAGTAAGAACTATGAGAAAGCACTGGAGCAAATAGATGAAAATCTAATCTACTGGCCCCGTTTCATTCGACACAAATGTAAGCAGAGATTCACCAAGATAACCCAGTACCTAATTCGAATTAGAAAACTTACACTAAAACGACAGTAAGTATTTGGATTGTTAATTTTACATCTTGTCTTTCATAGCTTTATAACATGCTGTATGGTATGAACCTGAGACTGTGAAACCTCTTAATAATGTTTTCTAAGAAATTCAACTTTGTGTAATTTATTTGACAAGCAGAGGGACAGACAGGGAGAGTCAGAGAGAGGTCCTCTATCCGCTGTTCACTCCCCAAATAGCTGCCGTGGCCAGGCCAAAGCCAGGAGCCTAGAACTCCATCTGGGTCTCCACAGGGTGGCAGGGGCCCAAAAACTTTGGCCATCAACTGCTGCTTTCCCAGGTGCATTAGCAAGGAGCCTGATGGGAAGCAGAATAGGCAGGGTTTGGCCCTGCACACCAACACTTTGTCAGTATTGCGAGCAGTGACTTCAGCTGCTGCACCATAACAATGGCTCCTTGTAGGCTTTTAAAAATAATAGAGTACAATTTGATTGTCTTCCTCCCTGCCTAAAAATCTTCTTCAGAAAATTTCCTCAGCTCTCAGAGAATCTTAACATTACAGATCGGAAATTACCCAAAAAAATAAATAGGAATGTAAAAACTTTAATCTGGATTTATTGAAACTTATTTTAACAAGTGATAAGAAACTAGCTGAATGAATAGAATCCATTTTTAAGGAGTGTTAGTCCTTAATGCTTTTTTTTTTTTTTTTTTTAAGATTTATTTATTTATTTGAAAGAGTTGGTGGGGGGGACAGAAAGAGAGTCATTCTATCCGCTGGTTCACTCCCCAGTTGGCCACAAGGCCAGAGCTGGGCTGATCTGAAGCCAGGAGCCAGAAGCTTCTTCCTGGTCTCCCATGCGAGTGCAGGGGCCCAAGGACTTGGGCCATCTTCTACTGCTTTCCTAGGCCATAGCAGAGATGAGATCAGAAGTGGAGCAGCCTAGGCCGGCACCGCGGCTCACTAGACTAATCCTCCACCTGTGGTGCCAACACTTTGGGTTCTAATCCTGGTTGGGGTGCCGGATTCTGTCCCAGTTGCTCCTCTTCCAGTCCAGCTCTCTGCTGTAGCCCAGGAAGTCAGTGGAGGATGGCCCAAGTGGTTGGGCCCTGCACCCGCATGGGAGACCAGGAGGAAGCACCTGGCTCCTGGCTTCGGATCAGCGCAGTGTGCTGGCCATTTGGGGGGGTGAACCAATGGAAAAAGGAAGACCTTTCTTTCTCTCTCACTGTCTAATTCTGCCTGTCAAAAAAAAAAAAAAAAAAAAAGTGGAGCAAGCGGGACTCAAACCGATGCCCATATGGGATACCAGCACTGCAGTTGGCGGCTTTATCTGCTATGCCACAGCGCTGGCCCCCTAATGCCTTTTAATTGTGACGTAAATGCTAATGTTCATCTTCCAATAGCTAATTCCTTTTTTCTTCACATAAACATTACTCTTAGCATAGTGAATGCCTAAAGACAAAAAAGGCACATTGAAAATATATTTTACTCCGGCGCCGCGGCTCACTAGGCTAATCCTCCGCCTTGCAGCGCCGGCACACCGGGTTCTAGTCCCGGTCGGGGCGCCGGATTCTGTCCCGGTTGACCCTCTTCCAGGCCAGCTCTCTCCTGTGGCCAGGGAGTACAGTGGAGGATGGCCCGGGGCGGCCATTGGAGGGTGAACCAACGGCAAAAAGGAAGACCTTCCTCTCTCTCTCTCACTGTCCACTCCGTCTGTCAAAATATATATATATATTTTAAAAAGTCTGATTTGGGCCAGCGCCATGGCTTACTTGGTTAATCCTCCACCTGAGGTGCCAGCATCCCATATGGGTGCTGGGTTCTAGTCCCGGTTGCTCCTCTTCCAGTCCAGCTCTGCTGTGGCCCGGAAGGGCAGTGGAGGATGGCCCAAGTGCTTGGTCCCTGCATCCGCATGGGAGACCAGGAAGAAGCACCTGGCTCCTGGCTTCGGATCGGCACAGCGCCAGCTGTTGCAGCCATTTGGGGAGTGAACCAATAGAGGGAAGACCTTTCTCTCTCTCTCTCTCTCTCTCTCTCTGTCTATAACTCACCTGTGAAATAAAAAAAATTTTTTTTTTAAAGTCTGATTTGTAAGATTAAATTTTTAGAAACTTCCAAGTACATTTGTTATATATATAGCTGAGTCCTACAAAACTGATACCACTCTTTTTTCATTACCTTTTAAAAGGAATGCATAACTCATGAACCTGAATTTTCTGATAATGTGTTTTATTTTCTGTAGGAGGAAACTTGTACCTTTGAGTAAGAAGGTGGAACGTAGGGAGAAAAGAAGAGAGGTAACTTATTCTGTTATTCATTGCTTCTGTATTTTCACTGGGGAGGGCTATGCAGGTAGGATTCTAAGATTTGGTCACCATCTTCTGTGTAGACGGTCAGGTCCGGACAGTGTTCGCTAATGGATAACAGTATTAATTGCCCAAAAGCATCTGATTTTATCTTAAGATTATGACTTTGAAGGCAGGTTATAACCTGGGTGCTTTGGAGATATGCGTAATCAAGGGCAGAAAGAATATCGTAAGTTGAAGTCCGTATCTCCTTAAATGAAATTCTTGAGGTCAGATGTTACAGAATTCAAATTCTGCCTCTCTTACACATATTACCCTCAGCAGAGTTTGAGCATTCTAATCAAATACACCAATGTTTCTGAAGTAAAATATAACGTTCACACAAGTATGTTTTTCTTTAATGCTTTTAAGTAGCCTCATATCTGTTACAGTCATAGCTGCTAATTTGAGTTTGGGAATATTAAAAGTTCTGGTAAAGAACTGGAAACTCTGTTTTGGTCTAGGACTATTTGCTCCTTTGTAGTAAACTAGACAGTTTGTTAGTAATACATATTGTTGGTAATGTTATCCATTGAAAATATACTCTAGTCAGCGATCTCCAACCTCTGTCTCAGAGCAGTCTGCCTCACTTGCCCCTCACTCAGCCTGGATTTTCTTATGCTTCAAAACCCAGAATCAGCTGTCCCTGATAAGTTCGAATTTTTAGCCACTCTTGGTATTTGCTTTGCTTGCCTCCCTTTCACCAATAGGTGTTTATTTGCCAGATAGTTTGTCATATTGTGCTGAGAAATAGCTTTAATAATATTTGGTATTTTGTTCTCATTATTTACAGGGTTTTGTATCTCAAATCTGTCTTACTGTTGACTTTCAAACTTCTTTATTTACCTCATCAATATTTTTGAACACCCACCCCCTCAATATTATACTTTGTACACTTTCACTTTATGTATGTTATAAATAATAGTTTGTGGTGTAGCAGAACACAGTTCTCGTTCTTAGCTGGGTATAAATTTGTCTTTAAAGGCTCTCCTAAACAAAGACATCTCAGAGAGAAGTCATGTTAGATTGCATTAAATATTTGCTAGTTAGTTTTTCATTCTCTTCTACCTGTTAGCACAGGCTTTTGTTCAAGTACAGTTAGTTTTCATTTTCTGATTGTCAAATAGTGTTCTTACAACCATTTCAGAAAAAATTAATTTTTCTGTTTTTACCAATGAGGTTGAAGCCTTCTGAAAAACACAGATGTGTAAGATTTTTACAATTTTTAAGTTGGAAAACTGTTTCCAAAAATTTTTTTTGACAGGCAGAGTGGACAGTGAGAGAGAAAGAGACAGAGAGAAAGGTCTTCCTTTGCCGTTGGTTCACCCTCCAATGGCTCTTGCCGCCAGCACACCACGCTGAACCGATGGCAGGAGCCAGGTGCTTCTGCTGGTCTCCCATGCGGGTGCAGGGCCCAAGCACTTGGGCCATCCTCCACTGCACTCCCGGGCCACAGCAGAGAGCTGGCCTGGAAGAGGGGCAACCAGGACAGAATCCGGCACCCCGACCAGGACTAGAACCCGGTGTGCCGGCGCCACAAGGTGGAGGATTAGCCTAGTGAGCCGTGGCTCCGGCCTGTTTTTAAAGTGTGTGATTGCAGTTTTTACAGAGGACATGCCTTCAGCAATGCCACATATGGATATAATCTACTTTGCTTTTTAAGATTTTTTTAAGACTTATTTGTTTGCAAAGCAGAGTTGGAGAGGGGGAAAGATAGAGAAATTTTCCAACTGCTGGTTCACTCCCCAAAGGCTGCAACAGGTAGGGTTGGGCCATACCAAAGGCAGGGAGCTGGATACAAAGTAGAGCAGCCATGACTCAAACTGTGCCCATATGAGATGCCGACATTGTAGGAGGCAGCTAAATAATAAAATGTTGTCTTTGTCTTGAAGCATATATATTAAGTGTATTTACTCTTTAAAAACCATTAGATCATACCATATCTTTATAACTAGTCTGTATTTGCCAAATGTGTCATCAGGAAGTCCACGTAAGCAATCACACATGAACAGTTGTATGCTGGAATAGTATAAATAAAGGAGCGAGACCACCACTTTCAATATATCTTGCTCAATATATGTGACATTATATGCTTTATGGAGTCAAGGCACCAATGAGTATGCATGGGAATGTTAATGTACAAAATATAAACACACAGACATTTTGAGTATTTTCGTCTTACAGCTCTGTGGATCACTCTGGATGTGTGTGCACACTTCAGAGAATAATGTAGGTCCCTGTGGCCTCATAACTGATCCAGGTGCCGCCAGTCTACCCAGATTGTGATTTACCGCACTGTGTAGGTTGATCATTTGAACACAGCTTCCATATGTTAGCATTTAACACCCTCTCTGACTGTCAAAACAAAATCTTAGACTAGAGAAGGAGGTTGAAGTTAGATTTTCCTGTTTTGGTGGTGAGCTGCTACAGATTCATATCATGGATCAGATGTTATGAGATCATTGGAGGCACAGATATTCATCTGTATTTCATTTCCATCAACCACGTGGAGTCTCACATGGTTTTAGAAAATGTAACTGGATGAAGGTCTCTGCTCCCTTTCCTCAGCTTTTATAAAGTTGTATTTCAGGGTTGTTAATTTTCTGATACTTAAACGCTTCCCACGTAGGTACCAGGGACCTAAGTCCTTGAGTCACCATCTGCTACCCTCCAAGGTGGCTTCTGGGGTTGGGGCTGTGGCTGTGGCTGTGGCATAGTGGGTTAAGCTACCATGTGGGATATACCCATGATGTGCCTGTAATTCCACATCAGAGTGCCAGTTTGAATCTTGGCTATTCTGCTTCTGAGCCAGCTCCCTGCTAATGTACCTGAGAAAGCAGGCTCAAGTACCTGGGTCCCTGCCAACCATTTAGGAGACCCTATAGAGTTCCTGGCTCCTGGCTCATGCCTGGACCAGCCCCGGCTATCATGGCCATTTTCAGGAGTGACCCAGCATGGAAAATCCCTTTGTCTCTCCCTCTGTCACTCTGCCCAAGAGGAAAAGCCAGGACTGAAACCCAGGTACTCCAGTATGAAATGCAGGCATCTAAGCAGTATCTTAACTGCTCCACCAAATGCCCATCCCTATATCATCCTTAAAAAAGGGGGAAAAAAAAGTTTCTTTTTATGATGGACTAACCACTAATGAAATAAATGGGTTTTTGTCTCTTACAGGAAAAGGCATTAATAGCTGCTCAGTTGGACAATGCCATTGAAAAAGAATTACTGGAAAGACTGAAACAAGATACGGTGAGAGAGCTAGTAGCTTTGGGGTACTATGATGCTAGGTACTTTTTCAGTTGGGGTACTATGATGCTAGGTACTTTTTCAGTTGGTACTATGATGCTAGGAAATGTGAGAACTATATTTTATACTTAAAGATTCTAGAATGACCCCTCATTTTTATATTTTTCTTCAGAGTAAGTACAGGCCTGGCTTCCTCATTTTAATTAATTAATGCAAGTGGATAAAATGCCATGGTTTCCCTTGCTAATCCAGTCACTCTAAGAAAGCTTTCCCTTTTTGCCATTAATTCTTCCCAGTTCTTGTTCCTGTTCCCAAATGCAGCGATTCCAGATATCTGTATAAAAGCCTTAGGGTTTAGCTCCTCCTACATACCACTCCAGTCTTTTAAAGTTCTTTAAAATTATTTTTATTCTTTTTTTAAAAATTAGCTTCAAAATTTACATAGACAACATGATCAGAATATAGTTTTTCCTTATTTCAGCCTTGTCAGAAAAATCCATTTGTTTCAATGTGTGGGTTTCATAGACTACTAGATTTTAAATAATCAGATTCCATCCTCCATAGAAGTGATATATTTTATTATTTTATCTAGTGGTTGTTTCAGATTTCAAAAATAGATTTAAGACACTGTCAGCTCTGAGCTTATAAATAATGTAGAAATACAGCTCAGTAAGCTAAATAGTCTCATTTAAATCACTGAGGAAAAAAATAGTATGCTCGTAGGACAGTGGAACTTCAAGTGTTAATGTCCAGATGTGATGAAAGGCCATTTGTGTTCATATTCTCCAGTACGGCGACATCTACAACTTCCCCATTCATGCCTTCGACAAAGCCCTAGAACAACAGGAGGCAGAGAGCGACTCTTCAGATGAGGAGAAAGATGATGAAGATGATGATGACGACGTAAGTTTTTGGTTTGGTTTGTCAAACAGTAACTAATAAAACAGGATATATTTTGTGTCATCGAGAGACCCTTAACCAAAACTAATTTGATCATCTTTTTTCTGATATGCATATTTTGATTTGGCAGTGGCTGCCTTGTTCTGTAGGTGAAACCAACAAACTAAAAACAGTTTTAGTCTTACTGAGTGACATTCTAAAATTTCTCCTACAAGGTTCAAGTCACTGCTTGTGTATAGATTTTAACCAACTAAAATAAAGATGTGAAGTCTTTTAAATTCAGAAGTATTAAACGTGGGAATAACTAAACCTTGGTGGCATACTATACTGAAGGGTAAAACTAGATGTCTAAAGTGCTGTTTTGAACCTAACAGTCATGCTTTATTTTAGGATGTGGGAAAAAGAGAATTTGTGGAAGATGAGGAGGTAGATGAGAGTGACATAAGTGACTTTGAGGTGAGTTCAAAACAACAACAAAAAAGGGGGGAGGGTTCCTGAGCATGCAAACTAATCTCTACTTTGTTCTACCTTGAGGGAATAACTAAGGGAGTTTGAAGAAAGCTAGCATTTCCTTTCTTTTTGACCCTTTCTCTCCCTCTACAGGATATGGACAAATTGGATGCCAGCAGTGATGAAGACCAGGATGGTAAATCCTCCAGTGAAGAGGAAGAAAAGTCCTTTAATGCGAAACACAAAGGCAAAACACCCTTGAAAGGACCTCTGCGGAGAAAACGAGCCTATGTAGAGATAGAGTATGAGCAGGAAACAGAGCCTACGGCCAAGGCCAAAACCACCTGAAGTCCCGTAGGCAGTTGGGAAACAGGACTGACAGGACTGAACGTGCTGAACTTTTATCTTAAACACACTTCCAGTTTTTGTTCTTTCATATTGTATATAACACAATATTTGTGTTTTTAATATTTATGCCACTTAAGTGGGCAAGACATCTGTAGTCAGTGGAAGAATGCCTTAATTTGGGAACAGAGTATTTTTATAGCACATGTGTTGAATAACAGTTCAAGCCCACAAAGCTTAAAAAGATCAGTTCTTGAAGCTGGGATGAGACTGAGTGTAAATAGTTCGAGATGTTCAATGCTGAATTCCTTAGTGTCATTTTTCCTACCAAAGCAGGACTTCCATTTTCTCTTGTTCTCTTCCCCAGTCCTCTGGGGGTACAAGGAAACAAAAAAGGAAGAAGAGCCTCTGACTTACAACGTTTAGTGTAAGAGACTCCACTTGTGCCACATGAGATAGGAAGAAAATCCTTTCCTCTTGAGGAACATCTCAAGTTCCATCGTAGTGAGCACCTTCGGGAGCCTGCTGCACTTTCCTGAGGCAGTTTACCACCCTGCTGTCTTCACAGCTTTGGAGAATTTTGGCCAGGAGATCCTGAAACAAGAAACCGAACAGGCTTTGACTTGTTCTCCCACTCCAACCCCTTTCACCTGGAGTTCTTGGCTCTTAACACTCAAGAAGGAAAGTGTAGATGATACCAAGTCAACAGGTGTTACTTTAAAAATTGTTAACATGCTTGTAAACGTCCTGCTCACTCATAAAGCTGTTTCACGCCAGCCAAGGCAAATTAAATTGGATATAAAGCTTAACTGTCTAAGACTTAAAGAACCAGGATGAAATCTGATAAACAGCAAACCCTGTACTAGCTCCAAATATCTGTAGTCATGATGCCTTCGGTCTTTGAACTGAATTAGTTCTCACAGCGCACCCCTTGGGATGCTTCAAGGCCCGGCTCCACCCTAGTCCAGCTTCCTGCTGATGGGCACTTTAGGAGCTCCTGGCTTCAGCCTGGCCCAGCACTGGCTGTTGCAGGCATTTGTTATTACTCCTTGGTGGCTTATAGGTTATTATTTCTCCATTTTAAATTCAGAAGAATGTAAAAAAAAATACAGAATGTATTTTTACCACCTCTTCATCATGATGCTTTTGCCCATTATCTCTTATCTTAACTGCAGTGACATCTGCTGATCCTCTTTTTGTCTGAATGGTTCTGAATAACTTTAAAAAATAAAGTATTTTGTCAAAGTCTGCTGAGGGCTAGAGGGCACAAAGGTAGAGACCTAAAACCCTCTTGTGTTCATTTCCTGACTTGGTCAGGCTCATGAACAATAAACCACAGTACATCACAGGAATTACCTAATGGGGCCCAACCAAAACCAAGCTGTAGCCTCTGTCTTACCTTCACCTGTCCTTGAGAGCAGTGGTCCAGGGTAATCAGGCAGTCTGTGGCCTCCTGCAGTAAGGCATTCTTAACAGGTTCAGGTGTAAGGGTTGGGTCCCTTGCTACATCGCATATGAGTTTCAAGAGAGCCTTCAGAAAGACCACAAGTCTGCACGGAATTCTGGAATCAAGAAAAACAGAGCTAGAAACCAAATGAGAGCAGACTCCAGATTTCTTAATGTCATTTCCACAGCTCGCTGGCTGTATACTGGCCTCCCTAGCAATACCCTTCCTTCCAGAAGCTCAGTTCTCCTATAAGGAAACAGCCACCTCATCAACTGAAAAGGGGATCCAAATCCCTCCTTACTAAAGAAAATTAGAAATAATGTGAGGGAAAGGTTAGTGTTGTGGCTTAGTGGATAAAGCCAGAACATGGTGTTGGCATCCCATATGGCCATCATTTCATGTCTCAGCTACTTCACTTCCAATCCAGCTTCCTGTTAATGGCCTGGGAAAAGCAGCAGCAGCAGATGGCCCAAGTGCTTGGGCCCCTTCCACCCATGTGGGAGACTCGGGTGAAGTTTTTGGCTCCTGGCTTTGGCCTGGCCCAGTGCAGGCTGTTAGGGCCATCTAGGGAGTGAACCAGCAAAAGGAATGTATCCCTTGGTAACTTTTTTTTTTTGACAGGCAGTTAGACAGTGAGAGAGACAGACAGAAAGGTCTTCCTTCCGTAGGTTCACCCCCCAAATGGCCACTGCGGCCGACATGCTGCACCGATCTGAAGCCAGGAGCCAGGTGCTTCCTCCTGGTCTTCCATGCAGGTGCAGGGCCCAGGGACTTGGGCCATCCTCCACGGCCTTCCTGGGCCACAGCTGGAAGCTGGACTGGAAGAGGAGCAACTGGGACAGAACCAGCGCCCCAATACAGAGTAGAACCCGGAGTGCTGGTGCCGCAGGCGGAGGATTAGCCTAGTGAGCCACGGTGCTGGCCATCCCTCGGTAACTCTTTCAAAATAAATAATGCAAGGGAGATAAGCTTGGCTTCTGTGACTGGGAAATTATTCATTTCAGATCCTACTTTACCGTCAGTCCAGCTTATTTCTAATTACTTACTATTTTAAAGGTTTTCATTGCCTTGAAAGAAGAGTTCTGGAAATGGATAGTGACGATGGTTGTGTAACATCATGACTTGTACACTTGAAAATACCAAGTTTTACACAGTTTTTTACTGCAATAAAAAACTTAAAGCTGGAATATCATTTAACTTATGTTAAAACACAGTAAACTGTATTTCTGGGCAAAAATGTTGGAAAAGTTTTCATTACTTCATCTAAAAATATTTGGCATTTTCCTGTGGTTGCTATGCCTTTCAGCATTCCATCTGTTATTTAATTTACAATCTGCTCTTTCACATGCTCTGCTCCTTCACACAAAGACAAAAAGACTAACCTCTCAACATTTATTCACCTCTTCCTTCGACTTGCCGCCTTGGTCTCTGTTGCTTATAGGCCTGACAGAATTTTTTTTTTTTTTAATATTTATTTCTTGATGTGAAAGTTGGAGTTACAGAGAGGGAGAGGCAGAGAACTCTTCCATCCACTGGTTCACTTCCCAGATGCTTGCAACGGCCGGAGCTGTGCTGATCCAAAGCCAGGAGCTTGTTCAGGTCTCCCATGCCGGTGCAGGGGCCCAAGGACATGCATCATCATCTCCTCTCCCAGGCCACAGCAGAGAGCTGGATTGGATTGGAGCAGCTGGGATGCCTGCACTGCAGGCGGTGGCTTTACCCACTATGCCATAGCGCCATCCCCTGACACAAATATTAATTCAGTTTCATTCATCCCTTCTATTCTAGTCCATTCATTCTTCAAGTATTTGTGTACCTAACACCAGGTACTGAGTATAGTTTTGGATACTGTAGCAGATGTAGTCTTGCATTCTCCTGGAGGTTACAGTTCAGTAAGGAGAAATATGGTAAGCAAACAAATGCATTCTAGTCACCAATGTGACTAAGCGAAAGACCCAGGAGCAAATGTTACTCTGGATTCCTTGTACATTTATAAAAGTGAGAAAATAGGAACCAGAAGATATTAAACATTGCTGGGGGAAGGGACTCTAGCTGAATTAAATTCACAATTAATTCAGGAAAGAAATCCTTTTCTGACTCAACAGTCTGGGCTCCAGTATAACCCTGACACCTACCTCAAGCCACAGCTGGAATCCCTTCTGGGCCAGCACAGCCTACATTAACACTGTCAGCACTGCTCCGCACATGTTAGATGATGTGCTGTGCGGTACTGCATTCTCAGTTACACTTAAGGAGCATTTAGATGAACAAAAGCTTGTCTTTATGTAGCACTTCTCTGAGGTCTTGAATATCCTAATATACCTTATAAATCTAGAAAGCTACACAACTTGTAAGCCTCCCCAACTTAGATATCATTCATAATAGAGTACCTGGGTGGATGTTCTTCAGAACACCAATCTAAGCCATCCATCGGATATTTGGGTTTAAAAGAAAAGAACTGGGGGCCAGTGCTGTGGTAGTCAGTTAAGCCTCCGCCTGCAGTGCCAGCATCCCATATAGGTGCCTATTCGAGTCCCAGCTGCTCCTCTTCTGAGCCAGTTCTGCTAATGGCCTGGGAAAACAATGGAAGATGGCCCAAGTGCTTGGGCCCCTGTGCCCACATGGTAGACCCAGAAGAACCTCCTGACTCCTGGCTTCAGATTGGCCCAGCTCCAGCCACTGCTACCATTACATTTGGGAAGTGAAACAGCGGATGGAAGACCTCTGTCTTTCACACACTCTGTTCACAACTCTGCCTCTCCAATCAATCAATCAAAAAAAAAAAAAAAAAAATTGGTATCCGAAGCATTCAAATATGAGTATTTGAAATAAGTAAATATTTCTAATGCCATTTTCTCTGTTCAAAGTCTACAGCTGTGTGAAAATGGGAGGTATTCAAATATATACCATATTTGTACTGATTATATATCTAGACTAAAGAGAAAATTGGCTGAGTTTTGCTCCACATAGCACAACCGTCTGCTTGACTACTATACCTGGGCCACGTGTACTGCATGAGAAGTTTTAGGGTTTCTAATATCTTCAATCTAGCCTCTTCCTCTGGTCCATCATAAACCTCCAGATAGCCAATAATGACTCGCTCCAGCCTTTTCATGTGCCGGACAGTTAGGATCCCCAACCTGAAAGCAAAAGAGAAAATAAGATACCAGCAGTGAAGTAGGGGAGTATGGCCAGGCCAGCAGCTTGGAGACTCACCTCTTGACGAACGCTGGCAGGTTTCTAGCATAGGTCCTGCGTAAGAGAATGCGGTGCTCTGGCTCCATGTGGGTCAAGATCAGCTGCAGGACCTCATCACAGTGTGTGGTGGGTCGTGCTGCATCTCCCTTCCAATGCAGGCCTTTCTCAAGGACAGGGAATAAATCCAGCAGACACAGGAGCACAGCCTGGGAGGAGGGAACAGGAAAGGAGTTTATTTGCATTCTTAACACTACTTATTTTTCTAAAGACTTCGATAATCTGTCCTTGGGGTCCATGCCACAGAATTGTAAAAGACACTAGCAAGTTAAGTGCAGATCGCTTGGTATTTTCAAACACTCTGTATTCTTTATCTCCATCTGATAGTCCCAAGTGAATACTTTCTCCTCAGGACTACTCTACTAATTTGTAGAATGAGAAGAATGGCAAAGCTGGGACCATAATCCAGACTTGAGGAATCAGTCTACTGTCACTAAGACATTAAGTCTAAGACTTAGTGATACATGTTTACCTGTGCTTGCTTCTGAACAGGGTCTAGATGGTACAAATCTGCATCAAATTTGACCACCCTATCTGAAGTTTCACTGTGTGGGTACTTCATTCTAGCTCTCCTGGGAGCTCTCGTTTTCTCTTCGTGTTCTGGGTTTCTTAAAATCTCTTTCCTCTATGGTCTTCAGAACCTAACCTTTTTAACTGTTATTCCCTGGATTCTCAGTACTCCATTAAAAAGGAAAAGAGAGGTAGCAGGGCAGAATAAGGGGAGAAGTAGGGAAGGTATAAAAACAGCGCAGTGGTTAGGATTCCATGTGGGATGCCTGTGTCCGTATTGGACTGAATGGCTTCAAGTCCTGGCTCTGCTGCTAATTCCAGCTTTCTGTTAATGTATACCCTGGGAGGCAACAGGTAATGTCTCGAATACTTGGGTCCCTGCCACCCACATGGGAGACTTGGTTTGAATTCCTGGTTTCTGGCTGTAGCCTGGTATAGCCCTGGCTATTGTGGACATTTGGGGAGTAAGTCAGCTAATGGACAACCTCTCCCTGTTTGTCTCCCTTTCAAAAAATTAATAACTAAATAATTAATAACCTCTAATTTTATATAACTTGATGGTTCTGACTTCAGAATATTCTTCACTTTCCTATGAAATTCCTAATCTGGGCTGGTGCTGTGGCACAGCAGGTTCAGCCGCCATCTGCAGCACTGGCATCCCAAGTGGAGGCCAGTTCAATTCTCAGCTGCTCTACTTCCGATCCAGCTCCCTGCTAATGTGCCTGGAAAAGCAGCAACAGATGGCCCAAGTGGTTGGGCCTCTGTAGCCATGTGGAAGACCTGGAAGAAGCTCCTGTCTCCTGGCTTTGGCCTTGCCCAGCCCTGGCCTTTGCAGCCATTAGGAGAATGAACCAGCAGATGCAAGATCAATCTCTCTGTAACTCAGCCTTTCAAATAAAATAAATAAATCTTAAAGAAAAAAAAAAAATTCCTATCCATCCTTCATAAGCAAGAAACACCCCTTTCCCAAAGCCTAATGAAACCCCACACCACCCCCAGCCTGCTTAGCGGTCACTGCTGGACACTTGCTGCACTCGGTACAAACCTCTTCACTGCAGCTTCACTCAGTGCTGCACCTATACATATAGAGATATATGTACATAGGATCACATATTTCAAAAACCTCTCTCCAGAGGGTTCCTTAAACCCACAGACCCAGACTGACCACCCTCAGAGCCACATGGCCACTGGCTCTCAGGAGGTACTCACTGTCTTTTGGATGAAGGAATAAATGACACTAAAATATCAACATACAGAGTTTTAAGTGTGTGGCAATGTAAGGCAGCACAGAAAGAAAAACATTTAAATTAATAAAAATGGAACTTTTTCTGACATAAAGCTACCCCCACGTGATGCAGAAGTGTCATTGACCCACTTGGAGCCAAAACCCAAGAATGTGCCCGCCTGCTGCCTGCTGAGAGAGTTGCAGCTTGCACAGCCATCAGTCCTCACCTTCACTTTCCTGGTCTCCCCCTCTCCTGTTCACACAATGCCACCCTGTGCTCATGCTCAGGGAACCCAAACACAGCTATGAGCAGATCTTACAGTCACCTGGATGAGGCTGTGCTCCGGCGTGTACAGGTGGTTGAAAAGCGCATGGTGTAGCACCTGGGCTCTGTTATACTGGAGCAGATCGGCAGCTGGCTGCAATGAGATGAATTTCCAATTAAAGGTGTCCCAAGACTGGCAAACGTTGAGAACTTCTGCAACTGGGTTACACAGGTACATGGAGGTTCATTACACGCTCTCTCCTTGTTTTGTGTGCACATACATTTTTAAAAATTACTTACTTGAAAGAGGGAAAAACATAGCAAGCTCTTATCTGCCCATTCGCTCCCCAAATGGCCACGATGGCTGAGGGGCCAAAGTCAACAGCCAGAACTCAATCCAGGTCTCCCACATGGGTGGCAGGAATCCAAATACTTGAGCCATCACTGCTGCTGCCCAAGGTCCACATTAGCAAGAAGCTGGGAGTTGAGCCCAGGCATCCTAACCATCTTCACTGCTGGGCCAAATATCCACCCCTACGGGTAGATTTCAACAGTTCCATAATACAAAGTCTAAAAAATAAACTTTCCTCCAGGCAACTGTTGTGGCATAGTGGTAAAGCCACCACCAGCAACACTGGCATCCCATATGGGCACCAGTGCATGCCGTGGCTGATTCACTTCTAATCCAGCTCCCTGCTCATGGCCTGTGAAAAGCAATGGAGGATGGCTCTAGTGCCTGGGCTCCTGCCACCCACATGGGAGACCCAGATGAAGTTTGTGGCTACTGGCTTCAGCCTAGCCCAGTCCTGGCCATTGCAGCCACATGGAGAGTAAGCCAGCAAATGGAAGATTTTTCTTTGTCTCTTTCTCTCTGTAACTCTTTCAAATAAACAAATAAATCTTTAAAGAAAAAAACAACCCACAATTTCCTTTAGTGATAGCTTGCACATTAGAACACTGGAATATAATCAAGTTTTGATTTTTCACCTTTCTAAAGTCAAATGTTAATTATTGAAGGTTTGTTTTTTCAGTTTGATAATTATTCATGCCTTTCTGTTTCTCCTATAATTATCCTAATAGTATATAACCTATGAGAGGGCCCCAGTAGTGTGATGGGGTGCGGTGGCTTAAGCTGCTATCCTCCATGCCAGCACCCCATATCAGAGTGTCATTTCAACCCATGGGTCTACTTTTTCCAATCCAGCCATCTGCAGAGAGAACCTGTAGATAGAAGATCTCTCTCTATCTCTGTTTCTCCCTCTGTCACTCTTCCTTTCAAATAGATGAATAAATCTTTCAAAACATTTTTTATTTATAAAAATGAACAAATTTCATATATTTCATATATATAGTTTTAAGAGCATACTGATACTTTCCACCATACCTTTCCTTCCTCCCGCCCACCCTCACCCCTACCCTAATGAATCTTTGTATTACCTATGAGATACAATTTCTAACAGGTTGGCTGAAGGAAAATAGAGAAAATATATAAATAAGTTATCTTAATGACTTAACAGTGTCATCAGAATGCCAGTTCATAAGATAGAAGCATAAGCAAAAATAAAGCAGTGATATCGTGAATGGGGACCAGCCTTGTCTGTCCCATCAGCACAGACGACAGAGGGCAGAAGTTTCTCACCACGTTGAGCACAATGTGGTGGAGGCAGTGGACACCCAGGATTTTGTTCTCAGTTTGATAATCATCTGAGATTAGCAGCGATGGGGGAAGCACCCTTTCCAAATGCTGGTTCAGCCAGGGCCGCGTGACCTGCTGCAGAGTCCAGAAGAAAACATGTTTGGTGGCTGGATTATTCTTCCAGGATTCCCTACATGGACATATGAAACCACATTAAATGACATGACATGTTAAGTAACAAAGAAATTTAACCAGTTCAAATAAATAATTACTTTCTTTGAAAAAAAAAAAATCCCTCTTAAGATAACTCTGGATTTTTTAGCATACATTGTAATATTTGGATTAAAATGACTTATACTAAGTACATTTAACAATCATTTCAGGGCTCTGAGGCTAAAGCTTATCCGATGAAGCTTCATAAAGGACCTGTGGTGGTGGTTACAGTGAAGATGTGTTAAGCATAAACAGAAGCAAATGAGGCCGGCATTGTGAATTAACTAGTGCTGCATCCCACATGGGCACCGGTTTGATTCTGGCTGCTCCACTTCAATCCAGCACCCTGCTCATGCACCTGAGAAAGCAGCAGAGGATGACCCAAGTCTTTAGGGCCCTGCACCTACGTGGGAGATCCAGATAAAACTCCTGGCTCTGGCCTGGCACAGCCCCAGCCATCGCAGCCATTTGGGGAGTAAACCAGAGGATGGAAGACCTCTCTCTCTCTCTCTTGCTCTCTGTCTCTCCCTTTCCCTGTCTGTAACTCTTCCTCTCAAATAAATAAAACTTTAAAAAAAAAAAAAGTAAAAGAAATCTCTCAGTATTATTATCATTTTAAAGGAGCAAATGAGTCAATATTTGAGCACTAATCTATAGCTTATAAACTGAGTGTACACACAGGTTAAGCCTCCAAAGAACAACTATGCAGTAGGCATAGTATCCTTGTAAATGAGATGGACAGTCAGAGAGGCTGTCTGACCTGGTTTTTCTCGGAGCACTAAAAAGAAACACCCGACTCAAAGCCAGGCCTTCCCACTCCAAGTTCCTGGTAAAATGACAGTTCTGAACATTCTCCCTCCTCACTCCAGTTCTCCAAACAAGAGCAGCAAGAGGAAACTCACAGAAAGTACATCTCAAACATCACTTCCCTACGTAGCACCCATCGCTGTGTGAGAGCTGGTGACGATAATGTCAAGACCCTTAAATTCAAACCACAAGTTCAACTTCCCATCTGCACCCCCGCCTAACTTAAGAAATAAACGAACAGGAAAGAATTTCCCATTTTGCAAGGCAGCTCTCACGAGGGCTGGAGAAAGTGCGAGAAAACTCTGCCTGAAGCCCGCAGTCCTCATCTCAGATCTGCCAACATCGAGCGACGCCCTGACCCACCCTGAGCCTTGGGGGCCAACATCGAGCGACGCCCTGACCCACCTGAGCCTTGGGGGTCAACATCGAGCGACGCCCTGACCCACCTGAGCCTTGGGGGTTCCCTTAAATCCTAGCATCCCCAGACGCGAGGCAGGGCTTGCGGCCGGCCGTACTCACTTGTTCAGGTCGGCTTTGAGAAAGCCCAGGATCCCAGCGAACCTGCCCTTGTCGTCTTCACTCTCTCCGCGCAGGAACCCCGCTACGGAGCCGCACTCGGTCACGCCCAGCAGCGAGGCGAGCACCTCCCCGGCCACGTGGCGGGACCTCGGGCTGCTCCATGGTCGCTCCGCGCTGTGCGTGATGGCAAACACGTAGATGGGTGCCGCCAAGTGCCGCAGGCCGGCCCTGCACGCCGGGGAGCCCGGCGAGCTCCTGGCAGCCCCCACTTTCCCCAAGAGCTTCAGGAACACCAGCCCGACCCGCGCCGCTCTCTCGGCCACCCCTCCGCCTGCCTCGTCCTTGGGTGGGGCTGCACACTTCTCCAGGGCTCGCGCCACCTGCCCCAGGATCGCGGGCACCCCGCCATCGCCCTCCAACAAGCGCTCACACGCCGGGGCTTCCAGGAGCGCGCTGAGCTCCGTCAGGGCCGCCTCGCTGGCGTCGCCACGCCGTGCCTGCTGGCCGGTGAGACGGTGCAGGATCCTGGAGAAAGCCTGTGCGAGGTCGCAGGGGGAGCCCTCCTCGGGCGAGTCCGGCCCGGAGGGCGGCTCCATTCCGCCGACCGCAGCCCGACCCGCTCGGGAGGGAAAGGAGAGCGCTGCAGGTCGCAAAAGAAGAGGACTAAAACAAAATCCTAGAAGGCGACCAGACGTCTTGGGGAAGGGACGAGTCTGACGGGGATACGAAAAAAGAGGAGGGGAAGGGAGCCGGAGAAGAGCGGAGGCGCCTCTGGTACTAGGAGGCTCACTTATAACCGGAAGTGGAGACTGCGCTGGTCTTCCTGGTGATTCTAAAGGGGGCGGGGGGCACAAAAACTAAAGAAACCAAGTCATCAACTGCCGAGCCATAGCAGGAACGCCACCTCCGGTCCCTGCCGCCTTTCCCGCCCAAGGTCCGCGCCTGGCAAGATCCGAACCGGGCGGACAGTGTTGCCGCAAAGCACAGGCTAGCTGCGCCACAAACTGCCGCAACACTACGTCACTTCCCGAAGTGCGGTCGTAAAGCAAATGAAGATCCGGGTTCGGAATCGACCTGCAATAGGTGGGGCTGTAAATGAATATATTTGCATAGGAAATAAGGCGTGCTAATTTTTGCTTCTGGTTTTATTTTTAGAGTAGAAACGAGAATTATCACGAATACCAATGTGCGTTTAAAGGTATACTGAGTTTTCTGTGTCAATGCACTTTCTGTCGCAATTCCGTGAGTCACTCTCTGTGTAAAATGAGTGGCGCATGCTTGGGGCTTTTTAACAAGTGCTAGACCTCGATCCTTTTCGTAGTTCATAAGCGTGATGATTGGGTTGTTCACGCAATTGCGTGAGATGTGCCACCCTCGAAACCTTGTTACGACGCCGGCACATGACCCGTCTGACGTGAACTCTGAGGATCTTTACGCTATCGTTGATTTTGAAAGTTTAGAAGGTTGTGAGGTTGTTTCAGTCCCTATTACAGGGGCCGCCCAGGAGTCAGCTCTTTGCCCGCACTTGTCAGGAGGTGGTCGCTTAGGCACCCTGGGGGGACCCGCAGTATTTGGTCCCACCTCCGAGAGCACGCAGTGTGGGTACAGTGGCTGCAAGGCCACTGTGTGCGCGATATTGGCTCCTTGGCTTTGGGTGTAAGTTGAGTAACCGCTCTTATGGGCGCCGGTTCGAGTCCCAGCTGCTCTGCTGTGCTCTGGGAAAGCCCAAGTCCTTGGGCCGTGCACCTGCGTGGGAGCCGTGGAAGAAGCTCCTGCCTTCGGATTGGCGCAGCTCTGACGTTGTGGCCAATTAGGGAGAGAACCCGTGGATGGAGGACCTCTCTCTCAGCCTCCCCTTCTCTCTCTGTGTAACTCTGACTTGCAAATAAATAAATAAATAAATCTTTTTTAAGGATCTTTACTGGTGGTGGTTGGGGTCTAGGTGAGAGCCCCTGCCTCATGGGACTGTTAGGAGTGATGAAGGAACTAGCCATACTTAAACTGCTGGGAACAGTGTGCGCTCAGAGTAAATCCAACGCCGTACACGGGCGTCACCTCCTGGCTTAGCTTAGCTTCCTGTTTCCAGGGTAGCCTTGTGGTCACCCTCCCCTTGGCCTCCTTGCTTTGGCTCTCCCTTCTCTGACCTATTGGGGGCACTCAAGATTTTCTTTCTTTCTCTCTCTCTCTCTCTTTTTTTTTTTTTTTTTAAGATTTATTTATTTGAAAGTCAGAGTTACAAACAGAGAGAGAAGGAGAGGCAGAGAGAAAAAACGAGAGAGAGAGGTCTTCCATCTGCTGGTTCACTCCCCAAGCGGCCGCAACTGCTGGAGCTGCGCGATCAGGAGCCTCCACCCCCTCCACCCGGGTCGCCACGTGGGTGCAGGGGCCCAAGGACCTGGGCCATAGCAGAGAGCTGGATCGGAAGTGGAGCAGCCAGGACTCGAACCGGCGCCCATATGAGATGCCGGCGCTTCAGGCGGCAGCTTTACCTGCTACGCCACAGCGCCGGCCCAGCATTCGGATTTTCAATGTCAACCACTGATAAGTGTCTTCTCCTAAAGGATGCCCTGCTATAAAGGCCCAAGGACAGCAAGCTGCCAGTCGGTGGACAATGACTGTACAGCCTTCCCTGTTCCGTGTGCCCCGCTGTGCTCAGCGGATCCGGGCTTTCCCGCATCGTGGGGAAAGGACGTGTGTTGTAGCAAGCACCCGCGCTGCACTGAGTAGTTTCCTGGAAGCAGACACCATGTGCGTCTGGATGGCCAGTGCGTGGCACCATCAGACAAGCAGGAGCCGGCTGTGGAAGCCGCACGCCGAGGGAAAGGAAGAGGGAAGGAAGCAGCGATGAAAATTAAACTTCTCTGTTAATAAAGGCATAAGGCTATAGACTGCTTTATGGTTTTGGAATCATGTAAATGTTTTATAGTACAAATTTCTTTTAAAAATAAGCATTTAGGGAAAGAAAGAAATCCATATATAGATTCACTGTCATCTCCACAGAGAAAAATAAGATACTGACTTTATTATTTGGGTTTTTAATTTTGTTTTGTTTTTAAGATTTATTTGAGGGGCCAGTGTTGTGGTGTCGCAGGTAAAGCCACTACTTGCAGCTCCAGTATCCCATATGGAAGCCCGTTCAAGTTCTGGCTGTTCCACTTCTGATCCAGCTCCCTACTAATGGCTTGGGGAAGCAGCAGAAGATGGCCCAAACGCTTGGGCTCCTGCACCCACTTGGGAGACCCCGATGAAACTCCTGGCTCCTGGCTCTGATCTGGCCCAGCCCTGGCCATTGCAGACATTTGGGGAGTAAACCAGCAGATGAAAGACTTCTCTCTGGCTCTGCCTCTCCCTCTTGGTAATTTTGCCTTTCAAATAAACAAATAAAATTGTTTAAAAATAAAAACAATAAAAGATTAATGTGAAAGGCAAAGGGAGTTAGAGAGAAAGAGGAAGAGACATAGAGAAAGATCTTCATTAGTGGGTTCATTCCCCAGATGGCCGCAACAGCCAGGGGAAGCCAGGATCTTGGAACTCATCAGTCTTCCACATGTACTTGGGGCATCTTCTGCTGCTTGGTGCATAGGCACATTAGCCAGGGGCTGGATGGAATTCAGAGCAGCTGGGACTCAAACTGCGGCTCTGATTGGAGACGCTCACATCACAAGGGCCGCTTAACCTGAGACGTTGCAACACTGGCCCTGAAACTGACTATAAAACTCATAAGCTTGACTCTTATATCCTTGGTGTGAGATGTCCTAAGGACAAAATAAATAAATAAAAGGCAAGTCAATGACAGCATTAATGATTGTGTTGTCAGTAATAATACTGGTACTGTTAAATAGATGTATTATACATATTAATAATATATATGTATACAAATAGTAAGTAAATATCTTTATACCATTAGAACCCAAGGTTATTAGTTAAAGATAGGAGATACATGTGCCAACGCAGTGAAAGTAGGTATAAATTTTATAATCTGAGATTTGAATGGGCAAGGTCAGTATGAATTCCTCATTAATTTTTGTCATTGTGTAAATATGTATGAGTTACATCTAGCAGTGTCCCCTGAAAAGAGCAAGAAGCATGGGCCGAGCATGGGCCAGGCACTGTGGCACAGCAGGTTAATTCTAGGTTTGCGCCACCAACACCCCATGTCAGGGTGCCTAGTACGAATACCAGCTACTTTTTTTTTTTAAGATTTATTTATTTATTTATTTGAAAGGCAGAGTTACAGAGACGAAGAGGCAGAGGTAGAGAGAGAGAGAGAGAGGTCTTCCTTCTGCTGGTTCACTCCCCAGATGGCTGCAACAGTCTGAGCTGCACCGAAGCCAGGGGCCAGGAGCTTCTTCTGGGTCTCCCATGTGGGTGCAGAGGCCCAAGGACTTGGGCCATCTTCCACTGCTTTCCCAGGCCTTAGCAGAGAGATGGATCAGAAGTGGAGCAGCCAGGGCTCAAACCAGTGCCCATATGGGATGCTGGCACTGCAGGCAGTGGCTTTACTTGATATACCACAGCGCGAGTCCCTACCCACACCCACCCCCCAACTACTCTTTCAATCCAACTTTCTGTTGATGTACCTGGGAGGCAGATGATAGCCCAAGCACTTGGGTTCCTACCCAGGGAGACAGGAGACCCAGATGGAGTTCTGGCTCTTGGCTTCAGCTCAACCTGACACCAGCTGATGTGGACACTTGGGGAGTGAACAGCAGATTGGAAGATCTCTCTCTCTCTCTCTCTCTCTCTCCCCTTCTCCTCCCCCCCTTCTCTCTTTTTTTCAAATAAATGAATAAATCTTAAAAGAAAAAATCAGGAAACAATGGCATAAGCACTTCTAGTTTCCAAATTCATAGTCTAAGTATCATTTTCCACTAAAAGAGCCAGAAATCCTTTAGGAAATGAATCAGTTTCCGAGCTGGGGCAGAATTTGTACAAGATGAGCCTGCGGCATTGTGTTATGCCAGAAGGCACGGTAGCTATCAAATACTATTGAGATTATGTTAAAAGAACCAGAGTCAAGATGAAACAATTTAAGCATGAAAAAAAATCATGATTGTCACAAAGTGCAACACATCAAATATGCAGCAAATCAATGAATTCATAGTGATACCAAAAAGAAAATACCTCCTTTTTCACCTCTACATCAACTAATGAATTAGCTTGATTTTGAAAATTGGTAAAGAAAAGGACAAAATTAAGCATTTATCCTGCTGGATTTGTCAATGTTCCCAAATAGTCTGTAAGGATAAGGAATGCAACAGTACTGGTAGAATTAGAAAGTCACTATCCATACCTCTTATAGCATTGAAACAAAGCAATCATCATCCGCAGCTGTGAAAATTAACAGAAAAGGTTGATGGGAAACTTTTTTTAAAAATATATCGATTTGAAAGGCAGAGAAAGAGGGAGAGACAGAGAGAGTGAGCGTCCATCTGCTGGTTCACTCCCCAGATGGCCTCAATGACCAGGGCTGGGCCAGGCTGAAGCCAGGAGCCAGAAGCTTTATCAGGGTCTCCCATGTGGTTTCAGGGGCCCAAGCAGTTGGGCCATTTTCTGCTACTTTCCCAGGAACATTAGCAGGGAGCTGGTTGGAAGTGCAGCAGCCAGGACTCAAACCACTGCCCATAACGGATGCTGGCATCATAGGCGGCAGCCATATGCCACTATGCCATAACGCTGCCCAGGGATAACTATTAATAGTTATGTGGGTTCTAAGGTTTTGTAAATTGGGTCTGTCCTAGGTAAACGTGATTACCTGGAATTACACAATTTTGTGTCAGTATTGTGTGGATTGGTTATATTACAGGTGATATGATGATATGATTTGGATATTATTTTGGGGGTTCCCTTAAAGGTCCAGTGTTTAAAGTTTGATCCCCAGGGGCCAGTGTTGTGGCATAGCAGGTAAATCTGCCTCCTGGAACACCAGCATCCCATATGGACACTAGTTCCAGTCCTGGTTGCTCCACTTCCGATCCAGCTCCCTGCTGATGCATCTGAAAAAGCAGCAGAGGATGGTGCAAGTGT